AATCACTTGGTGGAAAATCATGTGGAGAAACTCCAAACAGGGTTCCCGGAGGAGGTGGGGGGAAAGGCGTTCCTCTTCTCGTATCGGTAACATTTGTGTAACACTCTCTGCCAAGTCCTGTGTTTGGAACACCAACTGCAGAAGGAGCTTTGTGTAAAAATTTGAATTTCCTCTCTGTGTCAGCTAATTTTTGTCTGTACTTAGCATTTTCCTTCCTTAATCCTTTGAGGTTAATTTCAGCACTCCGAGCTGCCAACCACTTGTCATGTGCTTTTTTCTTAAGGAGTAAAATCTGCTCTTGGTAAGAAAGAATCATTCTTTCCAACTCTTTTTCAAGATGTTGGGCTTGCTTTCTATACTTGTCCAGCTGGTCAGTGGTAGAGTTGATATTTTTGTCTTGTTTAGAAAGTTTCTCTTGTCTCTTTAACTGGCAATTTTCCTCTACAGTGAATGTTTTGTAATGTCTCAACTGATGTTGTGTAGAATTTTTGTATTTCTCTTCTTTTAACTCCCTTGTTAGATACAGTATTTCATCCCTCATTTCAGAAATGGACCTGTTCAGCTTTTCACAGGTTGTCTCCAAACTCTGTGCTTCTGCTGCCTCCTTCTCAAAGCTGACGTCCTGGAAAGACGACTCTCTTTCATAGTCTTCATAGCTTTTTTGTAGAAAACTAAGTTTTTCAAGTAGTTTGCATTTTTCTTTAATTTGCTTACTAAGCTCTACAGCAAGCTTCTTCTCTCTTCCTACATATTGCCGACTCCTGACTGATCTACAACTTCTCCACAGAAAAAGGGGAATAGCAACAAACCCAATAACACCTGCCCATATCACTAATTCCCATGGAAAACCAGTAGAATTTGATACCATACTTTCCAGCAGAGCCACCACAATCCTGTATAGCTTCTCCACGACCAGACCTAAGTAAGGCTGAGGAGTAGCTCCAGGCTCCTACAGAGCGCCAAGGCTGTTATGGTGGTCGCCGCGGCAACCCTGGCACTTGGAATCAGTAGCCTTCAGTCTGGAACTGGACCAGACCACTGCAGAACCCGCTGCAGGGGGCACTGTGGACAGGGGTGGGGGCGGTGGAGGGCACTGGAGAACAGGTAGCCTTCAGTCGGGAACCCGAATTGACATGCAGAAACTGGAGCAGACCACTGTGGAACCGGCTGCAGGGGGAGCTGGGGGGGATGAGGACACCTACAGGCCTCACAGGCCCACACTGCCCACACTGACCCCCATGTTACATTTTACATCCTAAGGTGGCGCAGGTCCGGGCCTGACCCCCACTTAACTGTTTTTTTGTTTTGTTTTGTTTTTTTTTTTGGTAATATCATGTTGTGTTAATTAGCTTCTTAATAATAAAAAGATTTGTCAAGGAGAGACTGCAAATTTATGATTCTTCAAAACTGCCTAGGCCATGATTGACATTTTGCTCTTCTATGTGAATTCTACTGTCAACATGTGAAGTTTCATTTAAAAAATCATTTTGGCTATTTTATGTTTTTAGAAAAGGGTCTCACTCTGTCACCCAGGCTAGAGTGCAGTGGTGCATAGCTCACTACAACCTCAAAACCCTGGACTCAAGAGCTCCTCCCACCTCAGCCTTCCAAGTAGCTAGGACTACAGGTGTGTGCCACAACACTCACACATTTTGGTATTTTGAGTTGATTATATTTACCGGTGATTTGGGACAAATTTCCTTTTTGTATCATGAAGAAAACATTTTTCTTCTTTAAGATTATCTTTTGTGTCCTTCACAAACATTTTGTAATTTTCTATGTTGATGTTTTGTGCATATTTTGTTTTTATTACTAGTTTAAGAGTAGCTTTTAAAAAAAATCACTGTTTTTTTTTTGACAGTCTTGCTTTGTCACCCAGGCTGGAGTGTGGTGGGTGCGATCTTGGCTCACTGCAACCTATGGCTCCCAAGTTTATCCGATTCTCATGTCTCAGCCTCTGAGTAGCTGGGATTACAGGCATATACCAACATGCCTGGCTAATTTGTGTATTTTTAGTAAAGACAGCATTTTGCCGTTTTGGCCAGGCTGCTCTTGAACTCCTGGCCTCAAGTGATCCGCCCACCTCGACTCCCCAGAGTTCTGGGATTATAGGCATGAGCCACTGCTCTCAGCCTAATCACATTTCTTAATTGGTCACTGAATGAAGGAACACCATTTGAATTTATATTAAGCAATGTTTGTTTTTTTTAAAAAAATCGCTATGTTTAGTTAAAACAAAACATCAGAATGCATTCTACAAAATAAGCATATTGTTTGATAAAACTCAAACAAGAGGTACAACGTAAAATGTAAAATTCATTAATTTGAATTTCAGGCATTTGAAGCCACCATTCTAAATTTGAAACTGTTTCATTAGTTTACATTCTTTTTATTAGTGAGAATAAACAGATATACTGTTACTGTCTTTAGATTTCTAAAACAATCATCATTTCCCTCCATTTTAAATAATTCAGTTATAGAATTACATATTACCATAGTAGTCTGAAGATTTTACTCTTGTTGCTGATGAGAAGTTTGATTAGATACCACTGACTTCCCTCTGTATACACTGTCTATTACTTCAGGAAGCATCTGAATGTTTTCCCTTTTTTATGATGCTCTGCAGTTTTACTTTGGTAGCTGACTTAATTTTATTATTATCAACACTTACAGCTAATTTCCCATCTAGAGACATTTCTTTCTTCATTTCTAGTAAACTCTGTGTCATTATCACTTTGAGTGTTACTTTTCTACTGTCTTTCTCTTCTTGGCCATTTGTCAACATTTATTAGCTAAAATCCTGTTAAGTCTATTCGTTTATCCTCCAAGTTTCACAAGTGTTCTCATGTTTTCTATATCTTACTGTCTCTAACTTATTAATTTCTTATGAATAAATTATCATATTTACGCATTCTCACTTTCATTAGCCTAAAGATTACTTTGTAATTTTAATTATATTCACCATATTTGTCATTTCCAAGATATTTGTTTCAATTTTAATAATTTTTTCTCTAACATATGTAATTTTGGCTCCTTGGATGTCCCCATTTCTTGTTCTTTTCATTTTTTTCCCCCTTTGGCTCTTTGATAAACCCCAAGTAAATATCGTTTAGATTCTTCTTTCATTTTCATTTTCATTCACCTTCTGCTTGGTGGGAATTTTTAAGTTGCCTTTTTTAAGAATCCATGTGTTGTGGAAATTGAATTTTCACATTTTAAGGGGTTATTTTTTAACCTCTTTTTTGGTACTCACTTCTCTCTGCTCGATAAGACTGTCTCATTAAATTATCTTGGCACCCTTCTTTAACAAATCTTTTTAAACAAGTTGTGGTAGAAAAACTGAATATATATCTTTAAAATTAATTTGGACCGCTACTCTATACAAAAATTAACTCCAAATGGATCAAAGACCTAAACACAAGAGATAAAACTATAAAACTCCTAGAAGAAAACACAGGCATAAATCTTAATAAGTTTTCTTAACATTTGCTAAGAGAGCAGATTGTAAGTGGTCTTACCACAAAAAATGGTAATTGTGTGAGGACAGGAATACATTAAGTGGTTTCCCTGTAATATTCAGTTTACTCTGTATATGAATATCAAAACATCATGTCACACACATTAAATACATGCAATTTTAATTTAAAAAAATTTTAAAGAAAAATAAAAAATGAAGAGTTCTGATGGTAAATGTAGTGCCTGCTGTCTGTAAAAATACATATTTTTCCAGAGAAGACATACAAACAGCTAATGGGTATATGAAAGGGTGCTCAATATCACTAATCATCAGGAAAATGCAGATCGAAATCACAATGAGATATCACTTGTGAGGAAGGGTATTATCAGGAAAATAGCCAAATGGTAACAAGTTGTATTAGTCCATTTTCACGCTGCTGATAAAGACATACTTGAGACTGGGCAATTTACAAAAGAAAGAGGTTTAATGAACTCACAGTTTTCTGCATTGCTGGGGAGGCCTCACAATCATGGCAGGAGGTGAAAGACACATCTCACATGGCAGCAGACAAGAGAAGAGAGAGCTTGTGCAGGGAAACGTGCTTTTTAAAAACCATCAGATTTCATGACACTTACTCACTGTCATGAGAACAGTGTGGGAAAAAGCCACTCCCATGATTCAATTATCTCCCACTGGGTCCCTCCCACCATACATGGGAATTACGGGAGCTACAAGGTGAGATTTGGATGAAGACACAGAGCCAAACCATATCACGGGTGTTGGCGAGAACATTGAGAAATTGAAACCATTTTTACTGTGTTGTGGGAATGTAGAGTATGATGCACCCACGATGGAAAACAGTATAGAGGCTCCTTCAAAAATTAAAAAGACAACTACCTCGTGCTCTAGCAATCCTACTTCTGGGTGTATACATCCAAGAGAATTGAAATCAGGATCCTGAAGCACTATCTGCATTCCCATGTTCACCGTAGCATTCTTCACAATAGCGGAAACAAACTAAATGTCTGTCAACAGATGAATGGATAAAGAAAGTGGGGGCATATACATACCATGGAATATTATTCCACCCTAAAAAAAGAAGGAAATCCTTCCATTTGTAGTAACGTGAATGAACACAGAGGACATTAAGCTAAGTGAAATAACACAGTCACAGAAGGACAAACACTAGGTGATTCCACTTATATAAGACATTCAAAATAGTCAAACACCCAGAAGAGAAAAATAGAATTGTGATTACTGAGGGCTCGAATGAGTTGAAAATGGGCAACTGTTGTTCAATGGGTATAAAGCTTCATTCATGCAAGATGAAAAAGTTCTAGAGATCTGCCAGACAACATAGTATGTACAATTAAAATATGGCATTGTGTACTTACAAACATGTTAGGAAGATAGTTCTCATGTTGTGTGCTTTCTATACACAAAAATAATAAACAAAGACCACACACATAAAAGAATACAAGAAAAGTTTTTAAAGTTACGAATATGTTTATTACCTTGATTGTACTAAACATGTGTATGCATGTTCAAACTCAACAAAATACATATCGAATACAGATTGAAGACCAAAGAAAGCAATTCTAATTCCAGGCACAAGGCAATTGAGACAATAATTTTCATTTCTAAGTATTAAAGTCAACCTTCTACTAATGTGCAGAAACATAGAAACCCAGGGCAATATTTAAAATGAAGAAGTGAAAAAAAAGTATCTATAAAACTGACTGTGCATCTACAACTTAATTTTCTAAGAATAAATGCTGGTTTTACCAGTAACTTAAAGAAAAAGGTGGTAATTCAGGCAAATAAAAAGGAAGAAGCAAATTGAATAGACTTGATGACTGATTAGAAATACCAAGCTTCTTAACTTAAACACCTTATTTCTTTTTCTAAGTTAGAGCACGACTAAGGAAACGGCAAGCAGAGTCTTAAAAAATTATTAGCAAAATCCCTCTCAAATCAAAACGTTCCTCTCTCTCTCTTACTCATAGCATGCACACACAACCAGCACATTCTACTCACAGTGAGAAATAAATATGCTATCCAGATAAATTTTGTAATATTTGCTCCATGATTTTAAAAGAAGCATCAGGTTATAGTTAACGTCTATCTAACGTGTAATAGTCTAGGATTACAGGTGTAAGCCACAGCAACTGGCCCAACAGGTATGGTCCTAAAGACACCTCACACTTAACAACCAATACCGACAAGGTGCTTCAAGTTTCCTGGTCTGGTGTCTCCAAAAGTCAGACCAGTGGGACAGTCGGCAAACGAACCCCATTATCCACACTCCCCATCTTCCCCAGGTTTTCAATGCACACACACCCACTCCAATGACTCCATTTCTGCCTCCCCTGCAGGCAAGGCACCAGAATATTAAATAGAACTTGTGTGTACAGCCTCAAAGGAATTGCCTCAAAGTGGGAGGGCATACTCTTTCCCCATTTCCTCCTGTTGCCGGCTACAGTGAAGATGTGCATAAAGCAACAGTTCTGGAACATAAGAAAGAAGCTGAGGCTGGAAGAACCTCGGGCCAAAGATCAAGGAATCATCAGACCAGCCCTGGGCTGCTTTCCTGTGAAGCAAGGACAAGCAAACTTTTTCTTAAACAAGTCTGATCGTAAATATTTTCACCTCTGCAGACTGATACAGTCTCTATCACAACTACTCAATTTTTACTGACAGCTTTTTTCCTCTTTAGGCTTTTACAGGGCAATTTCCATAGACAGTGATTAACAGAATAAAGGATAAGAATAACTTATATAGATATATAAGTCTCCAAAACAATTACATTAATTAACACACACAGTCACCAAGAACAGACGTTTCGCCATTACCCTAAAAAGAAAAGGTGTTATCATCTTTTAAAAATTCACTGGCCAGGCACAGTGGCTCAAGCCTGTAATCCCAGCACTTTGGGAGGCCGAGGTGGGTGGATTACCCAAAGTCAACAGTTAGAGACCAGCCTGGCCAACACAGTGAAACCCCAGCTCTACTAAAAATACACACACACACACACACACACACACACATACCCCGAAAAAAAAAAACAAATTCCTAACTCAGGTCAGGCGCAGTGGCTCACGCCTGTAATTCCAGCACTTTGGGTGGACCCACCTGAGGTTGGAAGTTCCAGACCAGCCTCACCAACCTGCAGAAACCCTGTCTCTACTAAAAACAAAAAATTAGCTGGGCTTGGTGGCACATGCCTTTAATATCAGCCACTCAGGAGGCTGAGGCAGGAGAATCGCTTGAACCTGGGTGGCAGAGGTTGTCGTGAGCCAACATCGCACCAATGCACTCCAGCCTGGGCAACAAGAGCAAAACTCTGCCTCAAAAAATAAAAAAAAAATTCGTAACTCAGTCAGTATGTGCTCCTCATTTGATCTGGCTTTGCTTGATGCCTAGTAAACTGTAACACATACAGTGCCACTCAATGACTAACCGGTGACTGAGAGGTGGCTTAGAAAAGATTTAAGACTTCCTGAATTTTGGTACCCATTTAAAAAACTGACAGTGAAGCAGAAAGACCAAAAAAGCAAACAGCAAATTACTGAGCTTACCAGTTCACTGGCAAGAATCAGAACTCCTGAGAGATAATCTTCTACATCCAGATGAAATCCTTTCTCCCAATCTGGCTCAACTAAAAAACACATGAAAATAAACTCACGCTGTGAATGCAATTTAAGCCTCAGAATATAAAAATATACACATAATTTCTCCCAAATTAAGTGAAGGATGAATCTTTTAAAAACTGGCTTTTTAATATATTCACACCCTCGGCAACTAGACCGCACTGTGAATTTTTTGAGCTCTTAAGCAAAATTCAATTCAGTTTTCCCTCAAAAAGTAGTATTATCAAAATGCTGTCTATTTGTGTCAGAGAATATACTTCTTGTTATAAAGTGTATGATAAGGCATTTAAGAAAGGACTTATCAGGCCGGGCATGGTGGCTCAAGCCTGTAATCCCAGCACTTTGGGAGGCCGAGGCGGGTGGATCACACGGTCAAGAGATTGAGACAATCCTGGTCAACATGGTGAAACCCCGTCTCTACTAAAAATACAAAAAATTAGCTGGGCATGGTGGCGCGTGCCTGCAATTCCAGCTACTCAGGAGGCTGAGGTAGGAGAATTGCCTGAACCCAGGAGGCGGAGGTTGCAGTGAGCCAAGATCGCGCCATTGCACTCCAGCCTGGGTAACAAGATCAAAACTCCGTCTCAAAAAAAAAAAAAAAAAAAAAGAAAGGACTTATCATATTTGCAACTAACTTTCAAATGTCTAGCAAAGACACAAAATGAGAAGATGAAGCAGATGTAGCAAAATGTTAACAAGTGGCAAATCTAAGCCTGTGTAAACAGGTCTTCATCCTACTATTCTGTCCACTTCTCTGTAGGCTTGGAACTTTAAAAAATCCAATTATAAAAACTGAAAGAAGCAAGTGCAAATGAGTTAGCCACTATTATTTTTAGCTTTTGTGTTTCCAAGTACAGTTGGCCCTCTGTGCTGACCAACTGCAGATTGAATATACTTGGGAAAAATAAATAAAAATGACAATACAAAAATTCAAAATACAGATTTTTGAAATCAATGCAGTATAACAACTATTTACACAGCACTCATACTGTATTAGACATTTTAGGTAATTAGAGATGATTTAAAGTATGTGGGAGGATGCGTGTAGGTTACATACAAACACTGTACCATTTTATATAAGGGACTTGAACATCCTCAGATTTTGGTATTGGGAGAGTCTGGATCCAGTCATCCTCTGATAACAAGCTACGACTGTAAGTGGTTTTTAGTTAGCTCTTACTTGTTTTAATAAACAAAGTACAACCACCCTTTCCACCAAAATCTAAGCAACCATGCCTGATTCTGCAGATCCCACTAATGAAGACACTTACTGCCAAGAATTTCTGTAACCGCCTCTCGAGTCACTAGCGTTTCTGTTTCCAAATACACAACAAATGCTGCCAAGAAGACCAAGCGCTGCAGCACAAACCTCCGGTGCTCATGAAATCTGCAGGAAAACAAGCACGCTTCACCTCCGAGGCTCCAGACCTTCAGAGACAGGCTTAACACAGTCATGTTCAAACAGTGCAGAAATAAGATCGTTTTTCAATAAAATCTTATGCAAACCCCCAATATATAAAGAGCAATATGACATTTACTATAAATTTTACAAGTTCAAATTTATAACAATTATTAAAGTTTAATCAGTGAGAAATACGGTCTAATTTTGATAAATATGAAAATTTACACCAGGTGTGGTGGCTCATGCCTGTAATCCCAGCACTTTGGGAAGCTGAGGCAGGTGGATCACCAGAGGTCTGGAGTTCAAGACCAGCCTGGCCAACATGGCAAAACCCCATCTCTACAAAAATAACAAAATTAGCCACATGTGGTGGCACCCACCCATAGTCCCAGCTACTCAGGAGGCTGAGGTGGGGGAATCACTTGAACCTGGGAGGCAGAGGTTGAAGTGACCCAAGATCATGCCACTGCACTCCAGCCTGGGTGACAGAGTGAAACTCCGCCTGAAAAAAAAAAAAAAAAAAAAGAGAAATTACAACTGAAGATTACAGATGACAAGTGCAATCGTGCTAAGTTTAATCAGAAAGAACAATAATACTGCTCTGAGAAAAATAAAAATTCGCAACTGACGACTGAAGACAACTGTAGTCAACTTATTCCTACATTTTGATTTGAGTGCAGGATACCAAGAATATTCTGATTCACAAAATTACCATTCGCAATCACTAAATAAACGGACTTAAAAGTGATAGGATACCGAGCTGAAAAAAGAAGCCTGAAAAAAGAAGAGGACATTTTACAACCTGTGGATAGTTACACTGTGCCTCCTGATTTTCAAATGTGGGAATAAATTCAAAAAAAGTCTCAACACAATGCAGGTCATATAAACCCTTCTCAAGGCCAAATCTAGCCAGAAGGCAGCCTGTGTGTGACCTCCAGAGATGGTCTCTAAAGACCCTGCTAGTTCTACTGTCCAACCTCTCTCTGTGCTTCAGTTATGACAACAGCTGTTCCTGACCCTTTCAGCATCAGGGACTGGTTTCACAGAAGACAATTTTTCCACAGAAGGTGGGGCAGACGGTTTCAGGATGAAATTGCTCCACTTCAGATCATCAGGCATTAGATTCTCACAAGGAGCATGCAACCTAGATCTCTTGCATGCAGTCAGCATTAAGGTTCTCACTACTATGAGAATCATGCAGCCACCAATCTGACAGGAGGTGGAGCTCAGGCAGTAATGGGGAGCAATGGGGAGCAGCTGTGAATATAGATGAAGCTTCACTCACTCACCCACCGCTCACATCCTTCTGTGCACCCCAGTTCCTAACAGGCCACAGACCAGTACCAGTCCACAGCCTGGGAGCTAGGAACCCCTGCCATACAGCAAGAATCGACAAATTTTTTCTGTAAAGGGCCAAGCAGTAAATATTTTCGGCTTTGTGGGCCACTTTCACTGTTACATCTTCTTATCTGGGAGTTTTCTTTTTTTTTAACAACTCTTGAGAAAATAAATGCAATTTTTAGCTCCCAGAGGCAGCAGCCACTAGTGGTTTGTCAACCTCTGCCTTAAAGAGTATTCTCGCCGGGCGTGGTGGCTCACGCCTGTAGTCCCAGCACTCTGGGAGGCTGAGGCGGGTGGATCACGAGGTCAAGGGATCGAGACCATCCTGGTCATCATGGTGAAACCCCGTCTCTACTAAAAATACAAAAAAATCAGCTGGGCATGGTGGTGCGTGCCTGTAATCCCAGCTACTCAGGACGCTGAGGCAGGAGAATTGCCTGAACCCAGGAGTTGGAGGTTGCGGTGAGCAGAGATCACGCCATTGCACTCCGGACTGGGTAACAGGAGCAAAACTCCGTCTCAAAAAAAAAAAAAAAAAAAAAAAAAAAAGACTATTCTCATGAGGTTATACTATCCACCCCTGAAAATACTCATCCTATTTACTGTTGATACATATGTCCTAAAATAATGTCTTTTTCTGTAAGAAAATTAAAATAAGTAGAAATTCTTGAGTCAGACGCAGTTTTTCCCAGTTTAACAACTATGAAACCAGGATACATTTCACAATCCATCTTTCACAGTTTTTTTTTCTGAGATGGAGTCTCACTCTGTTGCCCCAGCTGGAGTGCAATGACGCAACCTCTGCTCACTGCAACCTCTGCCTCCCAGCTTTGAGCGATTTTTCTACCTTAGCCTCCCAAGTGGCTGGGATTATAGGTGTGAGCCACCACACCCAGATAATTTTTGAATTTTTAGTAGAGACAGGGTTTCACCATGCTGACCAGGCTGGTCTCCAATTCGTGACCTCAGGTTCTGCTCCCCGCTTGGCTTCCCAAAGTGCTGGGATTATAGGTGTGAGCCACCTCGCCAGGCTCATGTTTCACGATTATGACTGGCAACATTTTCCTTCCCTACATAAAATAATGGCGTATCTTAAAATTAACAGTTTTGTAGATTCAACAAGAAGATGTGGCATAAAATATTAACTATATATGTCACTTGGCAGTGAAATTCAAGCTTCAAATAAAAACTCAACTCTACTTATATATACCGCTACCTAATCTCATTACCTCAATAGCGATAGTTCATCTAATTTCACAAGAAACTTATAAATACAGCAAAAAGATATTCTTTTGACCTTCATACCACATTTTTGCATTGCTTTTTCCCTGCAAAAGTAATAAATGTTCCTTAAGAAGATTTAGATAGTAAAAAGAAGAAAAAAAATCACGAATTTTTGTTATGACCATTATTAGTTTGGTTCTTCACTTTCTGTTACTCCTACACATTAGGATGTTTACCTAGTTGTAAGCAATCATTTGGTACATATAATTTTTCTCCTTTTTACTTAACATTATGAAATGCTATTTTTCTTACAAACTTGTAATACTGTTCAGCAGGAAACTTGGTCTTCATAGATGTTAGATGTGTTTTTACTGAACCAAAATGTTCTTGCGCTTTCAAACACCTCTTTGGAACTAATCACAAAAGATAACCAAATGTAATCATGAAAACCTTACCAAATTTCAAATACAGTTCTCACTTAATAATCTAAGTAATCTATCTGGAAATGAGTGAAATTTTTTAACCTCACAACTAATGTACACATCTCTGCTTTTCCACCTGGCTCTCAAAATATCATCCCTAGTTTCCCTACTAATGAGCTACACTGAAAAATAAACAAACAACTTGCTAAAAGGGAATATATTAGGAGACACATTGGTAATTGGCAAGTTGTCATAAATAACGTCATCCTTCAGGAGCTGCGCACCAGCCGCTATTCCTGGTCACTCCTGAGAGAATGCTTAACATCAGATTGCTCCTTCCTACCATATGTGGCAGAAAAAGGCCTTTACCAATTATTCACAATCAAGATGACCAACTCTATATCATCAAGAAAAATGACTTGCCTCTGGCATGTGTCAATGCATTATTACATCATTCTTGTATCTGAAAATATACTTCGGCTCTTTTAGCTGTGCTGGCTATGCCTTACAATGAAGGTTCCATGTATAAACTTGACATATTTGACTTTAATTCACAAGACTGACTGTAAACACATTGATTTGAGAACACTTTATACTGTTAATCTCACATTAAAAGGTATTTAATGCAAATCAACAGGAAGTTGGAAAAAAGTATTCAATCACTGAAAGGCTGGATACATTAGACACACACACACACACACACACACACACACACAGACACGCACACACACAAAAGGGCCAAATAAAAGTCACTAGATAACACAAAGGAGTTATAAACCCTTTTTCTGCTTACCCTGAGAAGACTGTGCTGGCAGAGAGCTGCACTTTTTTTTCTAAACAGGAAATGGGTTAAGCAATTGTAATTATCATCAGTAGAATGCTATCACAATATGGAAATCATCTCCACTTAAATCATATTATGTGGAAGTGGAAAAATCAAAATTACCAAATCACCTACTTCTTCAATTTGTATTCACCATAAAGCATGATGGATATTTTTCATTATAAAATGTCGTCTAGATAGAAACTAACGCTCTACATAAGAGATACTTGGATACAAAACAAAGAACTTACTGTCCTGAAACCCAGCACCCTGATGGACCCCTTGCAGTGGAGTCAAAATCTCTCGAACTGTTTGTTCTAAACTCTGTACAACTTTTCGGATTTCCTAGAGAGAAGTAAAAATAAAAATCAGATACTCAGCAGAATTATTGTCATACACTCACACCAAACACATTAGATAGTATATGTGATCTATCATAACCAAGTTAGAATCCTGACTTTTCCACTTATTTCCTCTGTAAGACTTCCAAAAGTCACTAAAAAGCCTTAGATTCCTCAGGTAGCCTTTAAAGGATAACAGCCACCCATTCACCAAGTATCCAACTGGGACATTATCAAATGGATGACGTGTGTCAACATAATTTGTAAAACGAAGAGTTAAATGCAATACAAGAGTAGGGTATTTCTAATTTTCTTTTCTTTTTCTTTTCTTTTTTCTTTTTTTGAGACGGAGTCCTGCTCTGTTGCCCAGGCTGGAGTGCAGTGGCATGATCTAAGATCACCACAACCTTCGCCTCCTGGGTTCAAGCGATTCTCCTGCCTCAGCTTCCGCAGTAGCTGGGATTACAGGTGTGCGCCACCACACCCAGTTAATTTTCTTTTGTATTTTTAGTAGACATAGGGTTTTACCATGTTGCCCAGGCTAGTCTCGAACTCCTGACCTCAGGTGATCTGCCAGCCTCGGCCTCCCAAAGTGCTGGGATTACAGGCATGAGGCACCGCACCCGGCCTTCATTTTAAAAATACTCACTTAGCACACTTATGAGCGAGGCACTGTGTAAATACTTGGGGAACCAAGCATACAATCCCTTTCCTCTGGTGGTTTAACATATTAATGGGGAGAAGACATTTTTAAAATAATCAACATGACACAATTTTTTTTTTTTTTTAAAGTTGGTGTGCTACTAGAAAACATAACAGGAAATAGACCGTTTCGGTTGTGAGGTCAAGGTGATAATATGTGATAACAAGGAAAAGAACGGGAATGACGCAAATTCCGGTAAAGGCAAACAGGCAGAAAGCTAACTGGGGCATTAGAAGTAAAGAGCTAAAGTGAACGTCATACATAGAGAGAGAGGGCGTAAAATGAGATTGAAGAGAGACCATGTGGGCTACAGCAGAGTCTGATTTTTTGTCCTATGTGGGATAGGAAACCACAGGAGAGTTTGAAATAGATTACAGGTGCTTTTAAGACACCAACAACAAA